TCTTTGTCTAAAACTATGAGGGCAGCACTGCTTATCTGTGAAGCGTCAACCAATCAGAGAAACGAAGTGTCTATACCCACACTCATATTTCTGGGCGCTTTGCCTCCGTCATCGCTCATTTCAGCTCAGTATTCCGAGATACTACTGTAAATTCACTATCTGGCAACACTGTTTAGCTCGCAAAACAGTGTCAGGGTATTGGAGAAGACAAGAAGTGCTTCGGTTGCGCGGGTAGAACCTGGATCGTTGAGTTTGCAGAGCGAACGAGGAGAAAAATGGCGATGGCAACAACTCAAGTTAAGGGAAGTGGATGGCCGAGGAGAGCAAGTAACAGTTCGTTTGAAGGGAAAGTGCTACAGAACCAGTCTGTAACTATCAACAGGACAGTTAATTTGTAAGTGATAATCAATATGTGACTTAATTACATTATTTTTTAGAGTTAATGTTTTGACTGCCTCTCCTGTAGAACACAACTATGGCCGGTTAAGAGACGCTAGCAATTAAAATTATGTTCCTAACACCTTTCAATGCATCTTACATGGTACAACCATGAGACGGCTGTTCACCTTTTTGTTAAGTAACTATGGAAATTTTAAGCAGCGGTCGACTTGATTATATCCAATGCTAATTCAATTTAACGATTTACCTTCACGCGCCATAACACGACATAACCAACTGTTTTATTATATTAAAAATTTTGATTAGTATGTGTGCTTATATTTTCGTATCATTATTTTTTAAATATCGCAATACCATTTATTGAACGAGAACTATTAACGTTTGCTTAAAATTTCCAAAAATAGATTAAAATTATACCCTCTGTGCTCCATTTACATGGGGTATATTATATTTGAACTATACTAAGTTCTGATTACTAAGAAACTGAAGAAAATTTCATTTCTATTATAACATTACATTTTTTTGTACGTACCCATTACTAATGAATTTATAAAAGTAGTAGCCATTGTGTACCAGGTACATTGGCCTCTTTTATACATTAAATGTATATTTGCGTACAAAATACTTTTTGTTATTTCTCATGATCATCGTGATAGATGTTAAACAGTGACTGTTATTTTGTAATGCGTACCTGAATTGTCACTGTTCATTACTTTTACTTCTGTAATATAAATTACTTTGATGCCCTGTGTAAAAGAAAAAATGTACAAAATAATGATCCAAATCATATTGTTGCGTTCTAAGAATTATGCAACCTGTAATTCTTCCAATGAAACCTGTCTGTATTTTTTTTATTCATAAATTGGCTACATGCAGTTTATGTAAAGTGAAACTTCCATTATAAAATACTTTGTACTTACGCTATTATGAATGTATTTGTTTCATTCCATGATTATGTCTGTTTCTTAATCTAAGAAATCATATAATGCACATAAATGTTTGAGAATGTTTTAAACTTCTTATGAAATGAAAGTTTGTTGTTTTAGAACATATAAGACAAACCTAATATAAAAAAGAATATATGCACATTGGGATTTATATCTT